TTTTTTTTTTTTTTGAAAAAATAATAATTAGTCAGAATACAAGAAAAAGTTACTCGTCTAACATCCTCCCATCCTTTACTTTTTTTTTTTGACAAATTTTTTTAATACCAACTTCCAAAAAAAACTTTACCATCGAAAAAAAGGTTTCTCAGAAATGACGATTCTATATAGATTGAAATAGTCGACACAATTTTAAAGTTTCATTCATAATAATCATAATCATTATATCAAGAACATGAATATGATACAATATATATTCCCATTACAAGCAGAAATATGACACCAAGTTGTGTGAAATCACAAATTCACAAAGACAATTATCGGACAGACAACAAGAACTTTATTTTATTCCAATATTTTAATTGCCAATATTATTTCTTTAATGTCTAAAAAAATTGTGTTCGATTAACAACTATTAATTCCCATGATATTCTATGATTCTCATCTAACTCGAAACATATTGTTCCAAATAAAATTTTTAATTTACCATATCTTGAGGTCTCAAACAATGGTAAATAAAAATGATGATAGATTGTTACATTTTTATTATTATATTTGTAAAAATGGGAAAATTAATAAATAGACAGCAAATAAAAAAACGAGTTGAAATTCAAGTTTTGTTTAAATTATAAAATTTAGTCAATTGAAAAAAAAATTTATTTGTTTGTACATATGTTTATCACAAAATATATTTAAATAAAGCAAATATAATAAATATAAACAATTGCATGTTTCATGTACATTTGTGAATGAATGATTGATTGATTGATATGATTAGAAAGGAGATTTAGCAAGACGAAGGTATGGCTTAACGGTTCTATAGCCAGGGAATAATTTATCAGCTTCTTCATTACTAACACCTGGATGAACAATAACATCATCACCTTTTTTCCAATTGGCAGGGGTGGTGATACGATGTTTATCACCAAGTTGAAGTGAATCAATTACACGGATTATTTCATCAAAGTTACGACCTAAATAGTGATAAATAACACAATTGATTGATTAATAATATTATTATGATTAAAATATTAACTACAAGTATCTACAAATGAATACTAACCAGTTGATGCGGGATATGTGATGATTGCACGAATTGATTTCTTTGGATCGATGATGAAAACACTTCGAACAGTGAATGGAATTCCTTTGCTATCAATATTGGTAGGATCTTGATAATCCAACATGTCATATAAAGTTGATACTTTACGATCAGCATCGGCAATGATTGGAAAGCCAAGTTTTACGTTACCAACTTCGTTGACGTCCTCAATCCATTTCAAATGATCAGTTAACTCATTGGCTGACAATCCAATAACTTTAACATTACGTTGTTCAAAGTCTGCTGCTCTGCGAGCAACTTCACCAAGTTCTGTGGTACATACTGGAGCTATATAACAAAAAAGAATGATATATGGATGATAATCGATTGTTAAATAAGTGATATAGATAATAATTAAGATTTAAAAAAATACACATTTATCAATTAATTAAAATACTTACTGAAATCAGCTGGATGAGAAAATAAAATTACCCAAGAGCTACCGATAAATTCATGAAAATCAATATCTCCTTTGGTGGTATTTGCTTTGAAGTTTGGAGCCTCATTTCCAAGACGAAGAACCATTTTGAATTAATTTTATTAGTTTTTTTTTTAAAATAAGTTTTTTTTTTGTCGTTAAAATATTTTTCACAAAGGAAAATTGAATTGTTGAATTGTTGTTATTTTTCGTAACTCTATTTATAATTCAAAAAAAAAATAATCATTTTTTATCTAAAAAAGTCTATTGGTTAGAAATTGCATCATCAACTTTAATTGGCAATAGCACGTAATTTTGGAGTACTATTACCATTATTACTAGTTGTAAAACTATATTTTTGATATTGTAGAACTATATCTATTGATTAGTAATTATTTTTTGTATGAAATAGTAAGTAGAATTGTTGTTTTGTTGTTTTAGATTAAAGTATTAAGGTCAAAGAGGATAACAAAATTCATCCGTCTATGAGTATGCGAGTAATGCATAATGATCGAAGAGAATCTAAACATAGCAGAAGCAACTATATCAAACTATATCACCCAGCAAGCAACAGCGCAAATTTCTATTCGTTGATCATATTTTTTTTTTAAAAAAAAAGAGATATGTGTAATGTATATATTGGGTAATAAATAAATAAAATAATAGTAATTATATTTTTAGGAATTTGTTGTTTAAGATTTCAGCCCAAAGGAAGAAATTACAGTTTGTAGTGGATTCATTTTGATTCAAATGGTTGTGTAGTATTTGTGAATATAATAGTCGTTGTGTTGATAATGGTGGTGAAGACAAGGTTTTTTTTTTAGTTAAATAATTAAAAAAAATTAACTTCTAAAGAACATGAAAATTATTAAAGCCAAAGGAGGTATTAAAAGAAAATAAAAAAATGTAGTTGAGAATTGTTATATTAGCATACAAATAAATTTATAAAAATTGATTTGGATAAAAAGACACTATTTATAATTTATGATGTAGATCATTAACTTAAATGTGCATAAAAACCAAAGCAACTAACTATATAACAAGTATTGAAACCTGTGGCTCTTGGCGAATACTATAAAAGATTAGCTTTACTTTTTTTTCTTTTACATGATCAAAAAGGTTGTTTCAAAAATGTAATACAACTATACAAACTAATAAAAACAATAGAACAAATAGGATAATAAATATTGTAATTATGAAATTATCTAAAATTGGATTATTATAATAATAGCAGATCTTTTATATATTATTAGTTAATATAAAAAAACCTCAATTGTACTGCCAATTGGCGGTTATTTTTCAATACGATGTAATGTGATGTCAAGCATGATTAAAAAATCTTTGTAAAACAATAATATATACCATTCGTTGCTTTACTCTAGTTCACTTAAAGCAGGTTGGCAAAATCTCATTGTGGGAGGGTTAAAATTTCTACCAAAATATATAATTACCACCCCGAAGATGACCAGATTCATCGCCATTTGAGAAAAATGAATTAATAATAATGATTTTATTAAAAAAGTCAATCAAATTTCTTTTTTAGGTGATCA